TGATACAAGAAATGTCGGCACGTGAAGCGTTTTTGCCTCGTCTTCTGGAGTATTGACGTCAGAATTAAATACATGGGGTAAAAGTAATCAAGACCAGTTGAATTTCAGATGCACAGACTGAAAATGGCTCGAACCTGTTCAATCTGAAGAGGTATCCTTCATGGAGAATATTCCGTCCTCCTCGCAGACCCTCCAGTATTCGTACTGACATGATGACGATTGAGACTGTGAAGTTGATCCGGTCAAGAAAGTCCATTTTATAGGACTTGGGAAGAAAACTTGCTCTGGTTGTGCCATTATGCCACAAGGTCATGGAATTTGCAGGGCAATTTCGACGTTGACGTAGACACACTGGGACATTCACCCCCGGGGGTTGGCTTGTTATGCCACCGCTTGCTTTCCGTCCCATTCTGCCACCGACCGTATTCATGGGCTCAGTCTCAAATGTACGCTGCCTGCACAGGCATTCATGAATTTCTGCAATGGGGCTCTGTTATACCGATGAAACGAAACCTGTCCTATCCAATACGAAGTCGCCTCCCCATGACGGAAAAAAAACGTTGTGGCAATAAGCGACTGTTTCCCTTGGATTACTCGGCATATTGCAACTTTTTATAGGTATATGTATGCATTTTCGAACTGCGGCAGCGAGGTAGGCGTAAACCAACTATTTCGTCCCAGCAGGTACAATGGGAGTAGGCAGCTACGGGAATAAGCCGTTCAGTCTGTGGTAATGACTAGCCGAAGCAGGGCCGGCCCCTAGCTACTTCAGCGCCTTTTGCAAAGAGACTCCGGAAGCCCCCCCCCCCCCNCGCGCCCCCCCCCCCCCCCCCCCCCTCTGAAAGGAGAAGGGTCAATCCTTCGCGTCCAAAAAGACGGCGAAGCGGAATCCACACTTTCACTTTCTGAAGTAAAACTGAGGGTGACATCCACTATTGCTGCATCCATTCTGGCGCGTTTTGGCGACCCTAGTGAATTTGCGCCCTGTGCGGGGGCACATGCCTATGTCCGGCCCTGAGCCGAAGTCGCATCTTTTTTTTGCTGTCATTCTCTTCAAGGACATTTCCAAGTCGCAGTATCCAATCACTTTTTCATCACTATGTTCATCCTACCTCTCTTAACGAATGTCTGCATAAGCAGGCTTCATATCTAAGGAATCCTGTAGACTCGAGGATTCTGAAAAGGCCTGCCCATTTGAGGACCTTTGAGGACGGAACATCTCCAGCTATCAAGCGGAGTTCATTAGAAACGTGAATGCAGATGAGCAGCGAATCTGCAGTACAATCCGTCAAGACTTATAAATTTTTCCCATAATAAACAGCATGTACAGGAGAATACAGACAGAGTGCCTCGGAACACGAGTCTACCGGACATCCGGATGTAAAAAAGGGGAGTATGCTTATTAAGTCGACCGTAAAATAATCACTGATTTCATTTGAAAAATTTTCAACGTGACGAAACCAAGAGAATAAATCTTGAATCATTTTTAAACCTCTCCACGATGAGCAGAAAGTGGTCCTCAAAAAAGGACTTCCATCTTACGTAGATTTGACTGGAAAGCCTATACGCACCGAGTTCACCAACTCATACAGTCGAATATCAGGAAGATCTCAATGAAGATGCGCGAAAAGATTAATTCCCTTCCAGATATTTGACAAAGTGATATTAGACAGCAAAAAAGTAGACTTCTCCTTTGCATCTGAATAAAAACATGGAAAAAAGGAGAGAAAAGAATTCCTCCATTGCTATCAGTTGATCATTGTGTCCTACACACTTCACATGTAGCACTTTCAAATCTTCGATTTAGACACACCTCCAAGTGGCTAGCCAATAGGTTGAATTTCGCAACTTAAATAAGTATTGCACATGAGAAACCAGCTAATTTAAGCCGTGCATTCTTCATGGGACTCCTGAGACGAGACAGATAATATAGTGCAAGCCACATCATATGACCGACACCATCTTTCAAATCACACTATTCCAAACTGATTTTTTCATTCGTCTGAGTCCCAACGGAGTAGACTGCAAAATGCATTGGAGGGAAAAATGAAACAAGGACGAGAGGGTGAGACAATGGGAGTCCGTTCTCTTCGAGTGTGGAGGATATTTCCCAGCAACCATCCGACCTAGTTTGGCAGAAAGAGATGAAGCAAAATTGAGCAAGTAACAAGATGGGCTGACGACAACCGAGTCCCCAGCAGGCAGTGGCATGCAGGATGCAGAATCGGGGAGCAAGCGGGTGCATCAAAGTTCATCGTGATCAAACTCGCTCCACCAGATGACTGGGGATTTTCCCTCTTCACTCTTCGTCCGGTCACTCGGTCTTCGTCTTGCTGGCACCAGCACTTCCCGTCTCACATCATCTCCCTTTTTGTCCCTTTCTCTTCTCTACGAGCCCATCCCCGATCCCATGTCCTACATCCCATGGAGGACGGCGGTAGGAACCCCAGAGCAGGTGGGAGCATTCCACCACAACCTGTCTGCGATCATCATCCCTACGTGCATCGACCGCCAGAGATATACGAGACCATCGAGCACAAATGTCGCGTCTGGTGGTTCCCGTCTGACTTCACGCAGACGCACATCAACGGCCGCTACGAAGGGAACGGGAAGAAAGGAAGCAATGCATGCACCATCATCTGCATCCTCATGGCCATCCGCATTCATACCCAGAATATGGGCATCCACATTCCTATGGGGCAGCCGATGAACAAGGTCATTGTGGCCACATTTGCCGAATGCATCTACGAAGGGAATGCTATCCATGAAAAGATGTTGAGAAATGGTGAACTTTCACACATGAATCTGACTGTACCAGAGGCAATGGCTGCATGCTCATCTCGTGCCAAATGCCTTCTCGAATGGGTGAGTCTTCAGCAAGACGAGCCAAAATCATGCTCTAGACAAGATATCCTTCGGAAAAGGTATCACTTCCCTGTCCTAGTATTACGTGCAAAAGAGCCTGACAAACATCACAACACTGCGGCAGAGCCTGTTCAATCAGATCTACCAAGGACTCCAAGAATGGTGCAACCGTCCCCCACCGAGTGCCACCCCCGACCTCTACCTTGTCCTCATCGCAGATGCCCGCAGCGTTCTCGTCGTATACCAACGCCAGACAGGCAAAGTGTGGTCCTCCCTCATTTGCATCAATTCAGCCTGTTTTGCTTTAATAAGTGTGCACTTGCACACACAATGACTCGCGATCTTCTTGATAGCTGACACTGATCGATTCACACTCTCACATGCACTCTGGGGCCATCATGGTTCAGGTGGATGTGACACACATCCGGGATCTATGCATCTGGTATGACAACATGTGCTCTGAGGTGTTTGGCACCAATCCTGACTGCTACGAGCTCTCCTTTCTCTACTTCCATAATCACCGCCTACCTTCAACCATCGTAAAATCTTAGTCTAACACTTCCTTTTTTTTCTCTTTCTGCTCCTTCACCTTTTCCTGGGGTTTTTCGGACTCTCAAGGGATTACAAGAATAAAAATGACCTCTTGGCATCACCAAGCTTTGTTTTGTTTTCCACAAATGACTGAGTCAACATGGTACAATGGCATCACAGGCTGAGGTGCTCTCACAATGTCAGTTGAAGTGAAACTTGAACGTAAAAGGTTGTCCCTGGAAGTGGAAGTGCTGAAAGGGGTTGAAGTTCTGTCCTGCCTGAGTCTCTGGGTCCAGTGGATCCTCCCCATTGTCATATTTTGCTCTCATCTCTGCCATGATGATGGAGGGGAGGTTAAATAAACTCTGCTACCTCCAGCAATGATGAATGAACTTGAAAACACCAACCTGGATCAGTGAGGACTTCCTTGGCAGCCGCTATGTCCAAGAACTTCTTTTCAGCTTCTTTCTTCTCTGTTTCATCTGGGAAATTATCTGGATGGTACTTCTGAGCTAGTTTCCTGAAAAAGGATGGGTGTGAGCACAATAGAATTCCCATGAAGCTACTGGGAGGAAGAGAAAAAAAAAAGCAGATAACACATTCACCTGTAGGCCTTTATTATATCCTTCTTTTCAGTACGGCGATCAACCCCAAGGATCTTGTAATAATCCCTCTTCCCAGCCTGTTTCTTCAACCTCTTGGCCTTTCCAACACCATCACGTGCTTGCCGATTCCCTTCGTCCAATTCTAATGCCTTCTCGAAATCCCTGATAGCTAATCCGAAAGATAAGAGTGAATATTATCTTATAATTTCACGTACCATGAATCTAAAATATGATGCAATGAGGTATGCACATTTCAGAGAAAGCACAAATCCTGATTAAAAAAAAAAACAATTTCATAACCTGAATCAGTTTTTCTTTATTTAAATCAGATTTGTTCAATTTCTTGATATTTTATAAATTTCACAATTACACAACTGCTTTCTTAGCATCTTCGATTATGCTTCATAAACAATATTTATGTATACACTACTGGACAGAAAAAAGTTTATACCAGCAATATTTCATATTCTATCAAATAATTTATCCATGTCATCAATGGCAATTAAACCTTGCTAGTTTCATTGAAAAATGATGCTCACAAAGCATTTTCATAACTTAACCAAATATCATCATAAAAATATGGCCAATGATGTAGCCTAATAATAGATGGTGCTCCCCTAAGCCTCCAAAAGAGATTTTGCAAGTCTCTGGATACTGGATAACAATGACATTTAATAATCACTTAGAATATCATTTTCAATCATTGCTAAATGCCTCACTGTAAGCATTTCTTGGTCATACTGCCACCTATATATTCCCAGACAAGCTCAATTGAATTGAAACATTGGGTTTGCCTTGCCCAGGGCTGGATATCAACATCAACCTCATCAATTTTTCCCCAGACTGCCTGAAAATATGTGCTGGAGTGAGATCTGGCTGAAAAGTGACTTCAGCAACATTGGAGAAGAGTCACCACTGTTACCCTTTCAGAGATCAGACATGATGCCAAGACCAACACCATTTTGATCAGGGTGGCTCAAAAAAAGGTAACTTAAGAGCAGCTTATACAGGGTGACCACAAAAAAATGGTACCCATGCAATTTAATAATCCCTCCTTATTTTATTTCAAATGACATGTTCTTTGGCACACATTTGCTTCACATGATGCATAATAACTATGGAAAGTTTCAGATGGATATCTTTAATGTCATTAATTTGATTGAGGTTAGAGCACATGCTCCAGATGACAGCCTCTGCACAGCAGGCACACTTGGAAGTGACATATAAAACTGTTCATTACTCTGACACATTCGGTTGCAATGATTGAATGGATTTTGCCAGTCAATGGATTGTGGCTTTCCTCAGCAGACATTGTCCTTAAGATAGCCCCAAATATAGAAATTTGGCAGTGACAGATCTGGTAGGAACAGTGCCCAATCAATATCAAGTTGCATCCAAGTGTGCCTGCAGCATAGAGGCTGACATCTGGGGCATGTGCTTCAACCTCAATCAAATGAATGACATTAAAGATATCCATTTGAAACTTTCCATAGTTATCATGCATCATGTGAAGCAAATAACCAAAGAACATATCATTTGAAATAAAAATAAGGAGGGATTATTAAATTGTATGGGTACTGTTTTTTTGTGGTCACCTTGTACATTATGTTACAGGTTATTTGGAAGAAATACATCTAAATTAACACTGGATCAAAGAATTTGGCACATAAAACATTACTTTAGGGAGTTATGGTGAAGGTAAAAATGGTGGAAAAATCAGTGGCTGCATTGAACAGGGTCCACAATGAGTTCAATAAAAATCCTCTAAAAAGAAAACCTTGCAGCAGTTGGTTTTTAAGCGCAGTAAGTAGTAGATTCATCAATGAAAACAAAGAACATTATGACCTTATTCAGTCCATATCAATGATCATTTAGGAATTGTGTTCAACATCAATAGTTGTATGGTTGATGACAGTGTCCAACAGATGGAGCTGTGCTTACAGTGGCAAATTGAACATCAGTCTATGAACTTGTTGATTTAATGACCTAAAAATATTTAAAACTATTATTCCATGAATGAAACAAATGCACATAATATATGGAACAACCAAAAACCATGTGATGCCTTCTTGGATAAATCTTTTTCTTGGGCTGCTCTGTAATACAACCAAGTAAGAAATAGAGGCCTCTATATTTTTGTCTATCAGGAAAGAGTTGGCCCTGCATGGGACATAATCTTGCCAACAGAGAGATGACTAGCTGCCATGTTTTACAATGACATATTGAGGAATTGAGGCACTCAATTTCCAACTTACAAGGCTATCTGAATCTTAAAGCATGTATAAATTATGAGTATGATGCTTCAAAGCTACTACATATAACATCATTTGAAAAATAGCATATAAGAAGTTAAATATTCAGTTGCTTATAAATCTTGATTTATATCATTATTTAGACCAGACTACCCTAACACATACCAGCATCAAAGTCCTGGGAGTCTATGTGGGCCTCAGCCCTATCACAGAGCAGGTGGGGCTCCTCGCGAATTTCAAGTGCCCTATCACAGGCTTTTAGGGTCGCACCAAGGTCTGGCTCAGAGGCATGTCGGCCACAGTGACATTCGGCTTCCGTTCCATGGTAAACAAACATCTTCACTCGAGGTTCCTTTTCAACCACCTGGAGAAGAGAGAATGTAGATGCTTTTACATTGTTTTTTATTTGACCCAGACAATTTTTCCCTTGACTTGGACACCTGTGCACAGGATGTTCGTCATGCACAAGTGTCTGGGTCAAATGAAAAACACTGTATATTTCCTCTTTTCTCTACAAAACCTCAATTGCCAGGCCAACAAACCTTTCTGGCAACCAAGATGCAGTCATCATGGCGTCCCTCATTTCTAGCACTCTGGAGATCCTCAATGAGCTTTGCTAACTTCTTCACCTTCTTGTAGTGAGAGAAACATGCCTCGTGGTCTGGATCTAGCTTCAAGCACTCACGAATAGACCTGAATGAATAAAATATAAAACCAAGGGATATTATGACATGAAAGGATTATCAGATGGGCTTATGGGTGTTGAGCGAAGAAGGAAACCTGACTGGAGGGATTCTGGAGCTTCGCCAAGATTATAATGCAATTGGGCCAATTTCAGGTGGCCTGCAGTGTTGTCTGGGGTGAGCTTGACTGTGGAGCGAAGATCAGAGATACCATTCATAACATCCCCCATCTCCAGGTAACATTCAGCTCGAAGCTCCCTCAATGCAATGTCCCATGTAGCTGATTCAAGAAGATAAGTTATGATGGGGATGGCACCAGCACAATCTCTATCCTCTGCGAGAGCATATGCCTCCTCATATGCATGACGCATCTCCTCAATCTTTGCATAATCTGCCCCAGCTCCAGCATTATCTGGCTCCTTCCTGAGCTGCAGTGAATCATGATTAACCCAAGATATGAATCCAAGCAACTTGTTACTAGTAGAGTAGAATCAGATTAATAAATTCTTAACAGGTTCACTTACCACCACTTCCAGGTCAATGTGTGCTTCATCCAAATGTCCCATTTTCATGTGAACACTTCCACGTTGCACCCGGGCCTGTTGAGAAACAGTAAAAGCAATGAAGAGACAGGAGTACCAATGGATTGCCAATTGGGAATCAAAGCCAGATACCAATGTCCTTGAGAACAAAGGTATAATAAACCAAAAAATCATGAGCAAGACAGAAACTGGCAATAACAGGTAGCTGAAATGAGCAAAACAACAGGTAAGAGAAATGATTACAGATGGAGGTACTCACAGCAGTAAAATCTGGTTTAAGCTGGATGACCTTATCTAAATCAGGGAGAGCAGATTTTGCCCTTCCCAAAGCCAGGTACACTGTTGCACGCCTGTAATAGCTCATGTAGTTCTCTGGATCAGCATCTAACATGAAACAAGGGGCATCCAATTCAGGATCAAACAGCAATTTGATTGAACCTAAGCTGCCTGCTTCATGCTCTACCATCAAACCATGGAGAATGGGAATAGAATTAGAAACAACAACATGACCCAAATACTTGTGAAGGAAGCGCACTCCTACCAAGAGTTCCATTAAAAATATGCAGGCAACCGATAAGGAATTACAAAGGGGTCAAATAACATATTTAAATCACTACATAAAATGTATACATCTTTAAAAAAAACTTCGCAATGCAATAAAAAACCACATGCTAAGTTCTACTAAGTCAAAGCCTTCACATGAATACAGGTTGCTTCAATGATGACAACTAATCAACAGGCACCAGCAGGCAACTCTAAATAATTCCCATCTTTTATTAGATTTGCTCTGTCATTCTAGACTTAAATGGATCCAAGCACAGTAATTGGGGACAATCTCCTCACCAATGGCATAATGAAATTGATCAAGGGCATCCTGGAATGCACCACGAGAGAGGAACTGCTTCCCGAGCTCAATGTGTTTTGCTGCATCCTCTGCCTTGGAGCAATCCCCACCTGAAAAATATATTACGGAGTTTCTGAGAACAATCCCTGCTCATAGTTTACATCAACATTAATCAAATGCATAACAACTCTAGTGTGCTGGATTCTGGACATAATGTACATACGAAATCTTACAGGCAAAATGGGACCTACATCTAATGTGTAACACATTATTCAAATTGATTTTATTGGATCAACACAAAAAGTGATCATTGGCATGCATACAGATTTTCCAATTGTTTATTCTTTAAATATATATGTTTTACCTTCCTTACTGTTTTTAATTCATTTAATTCATTTTGGCTTTCCCAAAAAAAGATACAGAACACAAAATTCTCAGAATTAATTAAATTAACTTAAAAGTAGTCAAACTCTGTAAGTAATCGACCCTATAAAGGGTCGATTATAATAACATGAGGGTCTGTATTCAACAAATATTGGTACCAGATAGAACATAATTGAGAACGGAGGAGGGGACTCTAAAGCTTACACATCTCATTTTAAAAAAATTATTTCCCATATAGTGCAAACAGCTTTCCATCATGAACGCAGCAACTGCTTTTATTACGCAAATAGTGTTACAGAGGCTGAGGAGGGTCACCTCACATATTTGGATGAAATTTTGCATGAAGCATTTACCCCGTCCAGCGGAGATAAATGGAGGTGATTTGTGGAGAAATACTATTTTCGAAGAAGGGTGCCTGAAAAGGGGGATTTTTTTGGCCCCCTTAGAGAAAATTTCCATTTTCTGATCATTAATCAACTGCTTGAGCTAGGAGAGAGGGGAGGTCAGGAGCTGGGAGGCCCGACCAACCCTCATGGGCCACCCACCCTTTGCAGAAGTTATTGGTCTTTCCTATCTGTCTTCAAGCTCTGAAAAAAAAAAGTTTAAGGGCTACCTCAAGACAATACCCAAACAGAAAGTAGGTCTTTTTTTTCAAGTTTTCACATGAAGAAAAATCTGGAACTTTATGATGAGATGGGCCAAGTTTTTATCGTAGCTGCATTAGAACAGCTGATGACCCACTAAATTGTTAGAAGTGAATAGCTGCTCTGCATGAGAACTTCTAAAAGGTGAAATTTCAAGACATTCTCTGTAACCTCTGACCTTGCCCTACGTGCAGTACTGTAAAGTCTCTACCGATTGGAATACGCTTATGCTAATGGAAGACAGCACCTTGTGCGTCTGTCTCATAAAAAATGATCGATGGCTTTTGCAGGAGTAAATCGAGGCTGATTTGATCCTGGTTGCGCACCGTTGAAACACGGTGGCCAAGCCTAGAATGTGTTAGCTGTCATAGTTGAGGGCAGAAGTTGTATGATTTGCAAAACTGGAAAAACAGTTCATTACAAATTTCATAAAGACGTCAGAGTATGGACATTTGCACATCATCCAGATACGGTGCCATCTATTACATTTTCAAATTGTAATACGTCATACGTGCCATGCGACCTTTACAGAAACCTAATTTTGAATAGAATTCATAGCTGCTGTCCATTTGAGCGAATTAAGGCACTCAGGTTAAAACTTAACGTCTTTGCCTAAAAAGTGACTATGATGTTTGAAGACATTGGGGAGGTCACGGTCGGTTTCGCTTGGTATGGCTGACATCATTGAACAAGACTCATTGCCTCCCATTCACAGTAAGCTATCATCCTTTGAGTTTTGCCGCCGGTGCATTAAGTTTTGATTTCAGGTAAAGTAGAAGTCGACGGTGGGATGTTCTGTTTTGGCGTTTGGTTTAGCGGAGATTGAATCTCAACAGCAGTACATAGTTTTGACACGGGTACGTAGTTCTGAAAATAACCATCCATCAAGAAATGACAAATACGTGTTAGGGCAATGTGCATTGCCCTAGCCTAGCCGATAATTGTGAAAAGCTCGCATAGTTATCTTGATCTCGGGTGTCCATCATGGAGTTTAAATGGTGAAAATGAAGCGGATCGTGAAATACTCAAGTTATTAAGCGCGGAAAAAAGAAACCCAGCTCTGGTTCTAGATATCTTTTATGACCCTTCATTTGGTTCCTGAAAATAGCTTGATAAGCTTGTTAAAAAGCCTTAAATATCATATCATTACAGATTCCATTTTTGGGGGGCTTACAACTCATTATTGTAGCTTTTTTTAGGAGGACTCTTATACTAGATGTTTTGAAAAAAAAAAAAACAAACAGACGTTAGCAATTGAGAAAAACTAAAACAATATTCCCACCACCTCACTCCCATAAAAGGATGACAAGTGGGAATTGCAAAATCTGCTGGCATCAACCTTGGAGAATGGCCCCCACTATAAGTAGGCCCTCTAAGTAGGAATGCAACGGTCGCTATCAAGGAAATATGATATACGGGGCTATTAAGATATACAAGCTGTCGAGATACATATAAGTGCTATCAACCAACGATATTTAAGACTGGAGCCCCAACCCAGGAGGGACAAGGACCATGAAGAAAGAGTGTACCAGCGTGCAAAGGCATGAATAACATTTAGTACTACTCATCTCTACCCTCTCCAACAAATAGTCATATTAGCAGTGCGATGACCAGGCACAATGATGTGTTTAAGCAAAAGCTCTACGATTTCCCATGTTCGTAGCGACTCAGAAACGCATTCAAGGGCAATTGGGTGGGAGAAGACTTTCCAATAACTTGTACTCCATTCACAATGATGTCTATTAAATGTAATCACCAGAGAGTAAAAAAGGGGAAAGATTTTTCTTAGCACATCCTCCTTCGAGGTCACGTCCAGATAGTGAGATAAATAAATAAAAAATTTAAAATCCGTTGCCGTCTCATCCCCGGAAGAGGGAATGGATTAGAGCAACGATCGGGCGAATTGAATATCTCTTTGTGGATCATGGATAGATGAAAGATCCCTGTTACAATGACGGGAGATTCGGCAATTTAGGCATATTTATTATAAGGACTCTATTAAAGTATTCATACTGTAGCAAGGACGATCACGATACATTGATGATTTTTCAGGCATCGCAATGCATCGGCAGGCAGAAATGAAAGGTGCATTTGCAGGTAAGTGATAATTGGGACCAGGCAGAACCTGGAAGCAAAAGAGCGCGAGATACAGAGGACGCCTCCGACGAGACGATCGAAGACACAGTCGGAATGAGTTATAAGCAGGCCTCCTTTCCTGAAAGGAAACAAGCCACATGCAATCCAGTCCCGTCCTCTCTGTCTCATGCTATGATTGTCTGACGGCATCAAAAAGTATATAGGCCTGAGCAGAGAGCTATGGACAAGATATGGGCTAAGATTGTGATGTCCAAATTCCTGCCGATTGCGTATCGCAAATTATGAACTTGAAATTTGCTCAAATTGCATCAGCAACCGTCAGCATTCCTGGATCTAAATCTCAAGACGCAAGTGCATTGCTCAACCTGGGTCGAGGTATCATATCAAGACCCAGAGCTGAGCACCCTACCATCCCAACCTTCGTAGCAGACGGAACCATTGTTGACAAACGGAGATAGAGGCTGATGCAGCATCATGGGATTGCAAGCTGGACTCGTCCCATGCCACATCTAGTAATGCTACTCTCATGTTTTGATGACGTTTCGTCACGTTGTAGTTTTGACATGGAACCCTATCAGCCTGTCACATACTCCTCTTTCCAACAGTCGTTAAAATGGTTAAAATAGGATAGACATCTACAACCGCTTGAGCGCATGGAATCATTCCACTCTGTAAATGGGGAGATGGTTGGGGAGATTGGATGGGGAGAGGCTATGATATGTGGGCTTTCACATCGCAATCATTTACCATCAAACAGGCTGCAAGCTGCTGGGATTTTAACCCTTCAGGCAGTTTTCACATACACTATACGATCATCACTTAGGAGGTCAGGTCAAAACTCAGCGCTTGAAAGGTTAAAAGCATGCATCAGTGCTTCATAGTGATGGTTGGAATTCAGGATTTTCAGCAGTCAACACTTAGATTCCTGACATGCTTCTGGTTGGTGAATGGGAGGGAAGGAAACAGATGCTCAAGTCGGCGACCCAGGGTATTCTGCAAGGCTTTTGAAGTGGACAACCCCCATCCCTCCCAAGTCAGCCAATGTAAGCACTCACTCATCACCACCATCCCAGCACCCTTGCTGATCCAAGGTTTGGGGGCTGGCAGTTTGTAATCAGAAATACCAGGTATGGGCAGTGATAAGAAATTCTGATCCTCATCAGTCATATAGTTGTCAGAGAAAATGACAAAATACTGCAATGGCAATACTACTGTGGTCATTGGTGTAAGAACATGAGCAAGAAGGAGCAAGAGAAAAACTGATCAAGAGTTGCATCATATGGTGCAACAGAATAATGTGCAGGATCTTGAGGAGACTATCTAGAAAGGAATCATAACCATAGTGAAGGAGTTTCCACAAGGGCGTTTGCATTTCCTCAGGGACTATTCTGTACTCTGCAAATGCAGGACGAATTCCAGCTGTATAGTAGGAAGAGCAATGTAGAGGTAACCCATGGTATGGAGGAGAAAAAGTCAGAAGAAATGATGACTTGAGAATTAAAGCAAAAATCAAGCCTGGGGAGCTTTCAATCTGTCACATTATTATAAATCTGGAACAGTTTAAGGATGTTAATATAACTATCCACAATCCCTCATGAAGGTCTGCCTGTGCCAAGTGGTCCAGAGAGCCTTAACCCTTTGTTCTCCATCTTTTTTGCAATGCTATGACAAACATCAGACCTGATCCAACAGGAGAGCACAAAGGGTTGAAATGAAATTTCTCCAAATTTATGGATACTACATTCTAGACAAAAGTTCAATGTCTCTGTTCCATGAAGACATAAATGCAGAAGAATATTACATGGAAAAAAACAAAAGAACACACTCACTTCTCTCATCTAGAGAGATTGAATACTACTAATGAAATAGATGTCAGCATGGATGTCAGATGTCCCTTGTTAAGGGAAGATTTCAGATGGACTTAGGCAGTGGTTCCCAATCTTTTTTCACAGGCAGCACACTTTGAATCCTGGGATGCTACATAGATGTACAGAGAGGGGGACTGAACATAGATTTTGCAGGGCTGATTTGACATTGTCCTTGAAAATTGGTAGCTGGGTTAACCCTTTCAGACCTGGCATCCATTCCAATGGACATTGTATTTACATTGTGTCTAGCAATTTCTTAGGATTCTCATGACTTTGTGTTCCATATTATGCTACGATGGGAGCAATTATGCATTGCTCAGTTCCATCAGAGGCCTTCTTTCACCCATTAGTTTTGTAATTTTCAGTTATTTAATTAAATGTATAACATATAATATATGGTATGATATGATAAATTTATACAAAATAGGATATTATTCTGATAGCAGCCTTAATTCAGGTCTGAAAGGGTTAAGAAAGGTTTCCTTGTGTATTTTTATTCCAAGTAAATCTTAAACCTCGCAACACACCTGAACTTTTTAAAGGTATATCAATGAGCTGTAGCACACTGAAACGAGCTTGGGTACACAGAGAAGTTACAGATATTTCACATATGTATGATATTCCAAAGTAAACATTGAAAGATATCAACTTTTCATTTTCATATGACCTTTCAGAACAATTTAAAATGTGACACCATCACAAAGTAGCATTGCTTAATTTTTCTAGTAGTCATTTGAGGGTGACACACTAAATTCAGGTTTTTATGTCACCAATGGAATGAAGATGATACTAAATTGATGAGTTCCAATATCTCACAGAAATGTGACCCCATAAAGAAGTGACTCACTTAGTGGTTTTCATGAAATGCCATATCTGATACTTCAAACATGAATTCTGTTGAAACAAACTATTTGTAGATTTGAATGACAGAATTTTCTGACAGTGCTTTAGGGTAAATGTTGCTGCCTTTATGGGCTGATTCATCATTTCTAATCCTGTTAAATATACCTTGTCTAACAAATATATATTGTTTTGGATAATAGATTCCACTCTGTGAACTGGTCACAAGCAGATTCAATGGAAACTCTCAGGGTATCCCCTTGATAAGGTCTTATCTACAGGGTGGCCCAAAAAAAAAAGAGAAACACTTTTCAATGTGCATTTTCAGTGTGATGCTTTCAATGTTATTTTTTCTAGTTTGATCCAATGGAAAGAAGAAAAACTTAGCAACAAAATAGTACTAACAACTGCTGAAGTTACCATTTTCCTTCCCCTTCTCATGAGTGCCAGGACATGAAGGCAATGTTGGGTCAAGTTGCTGTGCTCAATGCCAATTTATTATAATAAAAATTTAACCATATTTTCTGTATTTTGGGTTCTATGCATCCTACTCCTTCCATGTTTCTGCCAATCAACATAGTTTCAGTTTTTTTCAAAAAACTTATCAAAACTGGTGATGTGACTTATTTTCCCCCAAGGAATTTCTTCATGAACTGGGAAGAGCTTCATCTTTCCCTTCTTCTCTTGCAAGTCTTTTATCAGGTGTTATTCCTCTTCACTGAATCCCATGATTCATGACCTGAGAAAAACTGTGAGAAAGGAGTTAGGCCCTACTGCCTTCAGCAAGTGATGATTATATAAAAAATGCAACCTGAAACTAGAGTTGCTATAAAACTAAAATCTGAAAGCCAATGTAATAAACAGATATCAAGCTTACCACACCACTCTTCACCCCCCTCTGCCTCTCCACCCTTTATATTGACACTATCTATTCCAAGCACTGTGGCACAAAAGTATATATTAATACTCACCTGATATTATATACTTAGTACCCAAATTACTTACTGGTTATCAGGACAAAAGTCATAATTTAAAAATTAACAAAGATGTTTTGCAACTGAAAAAGTCACTTGTATGTCCTTGTCCTGCTTTGCATTTCTCACTACCAATGATTCCATATTAATTACAAGCAAAATAGGTCCATAACTTCCTGCAGCTAGCTGCATCAACAATGGGCAAATTTTTTATTATCCACTTATCCTTATAACTGTCAAAGAGTGATGCTCAGAAAGTAAAAAGATAAAAGCAAAGACATGACATGTGAAATACAATGGTGTATTTTGTTGAGCTGCATACCAGTGAAAAACCATACATACCAGTAAAAGACCAAGAAAACTTTGGCAAAAATGAGTAATGGAGCAAAAATTATACCAATCACACAAAAAGTGACTCAAGAAACTTTTGTTCTTATAATGGAATCCTAAGCCAAAAATTTTAAACCTTGGTATTATTTGGTCATTTTATATTTTGGTCTGGAGAAAATGGAACATGCCAATTTGTTGAAGAACAAGTAACCTCTCAGCATGTCACTTTCTCCTAAGCAAAGGACAGTCAGCATCAAATATTTAGCTGAGCATAGCACTGTACCAGGGATGCAGCAGGTATGCTAATTGGCACAAAACCAGGGGGAAAATTGTGGGGGGGAAAGGCACATTAGTATTAATACTGGCGTTGGTGGATGGCGGCTTAAAAGGGTGGTGCTTTAATGGGGGAGCAAGAAGAATAGTTGGTCAAAAATAGAGATTGGCGATGAGCGTGGGTAGCAACATAACGAGTGGTTTTATCTGAGAATTAATAATAGATCTAAAAATGACAGCCGATAACAAGTCTTAATATTATTGCCAAGAGGACAAGGTTAGTTCCAATTTTAAAAAAATGTTCGTATACCTAAGCGTAGGCCTAAGTCAATGTCCTGTGCCTACCGTCGAAGTCGAGGGTGAGGAGGCAGAAGCAGATGGAATAGAGGGGTTGGAGGATTCCCTTGAAACCAGCCATCCGACGTCTATCGATATCCTCGCAGTTCCATCGCTCTCAGAGAGAGAGCTTCAAATATCACTCGTGGCTTTCGAGCGAATACTTGTAAATTTGAGTGCGGGAACACAGAACCCCGGGTGTCGCGTGGTGAAGCGATGCGAGGGTCCATGATCGTGGCCCTCTCTCATTGGTTTCTATCGTCTGCGTCGTCGTCTGCTACGTGTCTTTCCCCTAACTTTCCGTTCCCACACTGGCGCCATGGGTCTACGATGGAATTCACGTCTCCCTATCGTGACGGTCGTTTCAACGTACATTGGTCCCTCTCGCTGCTCCATACCCGCATACTTCAAGAAAAATGTCTTCTTTTTTGTTTCTTTTTTTTTTTACAGATTCAGCTCTCTAAATTGAGTCTGTTAGACGTCCGTGTGGAAAGAGGAAAGACCTCGGTAGGGATAGTCCCGGGAAAAGAACCACATGAAAAATAAGACCTCGTATTGGCAAAAGCGGAAGAAAGCCACCAGAGACGAAAACACGAGAAAGTCACCATGAAAACAGTAACAGTACATGAGTGAAACGAGTAAAAAGGGCTCTTTGTATCTGTTCTGAGAATGTCCTGGACTGGCTTTTCCCCTTTTCATTAAATAAATAAATAATATATTGAAATAATTCAAAATTTTCATAATTGTCCTCAGAGACTGTGAATGAAAATATGAAAGTTCCTGATAACAGATGAAGAAAACACTCTGCAGACTTTTCATTTGAGAAGTATTGCAATTGCATAAAAGGCAATTTTATTAGCGATAACCATAATTTAATTCCATGGATCTTGCATTATCCTGGACATGAATCCCAATTTCAAAAGAACAAATTTGATTATTAAAATGCTAAATACACACATCAATATCGTTAGAATAATATACGCAAAATATACAAAAGGAAGCTGTATTTTAATACTTAAGTACAGGATGTTAAAAGTAAACGCAAATTTCTCTATTTTCCGTGATTTCGGCTCGGTGCTTTTATCTATATGCATATATTTTTATTATTCTATATATATTTTGTATAATATATACAGGGTTTATCAAAAGTCCAGACTCGTAGGCAGATTTCACTATTTACCTTTATTTATTTAAATGTTCAAATTGCATGCAATGAACTTGCATGCACATATCGATTCTGACACGTAACCCCCTCTGAATATTTCTTAGTACCTCTGTACTAATTTTAGCGCACTCATTCATTTAACATTTTAATTAATTCAAAATAACCCCGAGTACGGATTTTTTATAAATACAGCCTACATATATATTTTGTTTATGCCTATTCCGAGGGTCGTCCTTCCGGGTGGCTTTAATCCAAACCCCGGGAGGGACTGACTCATGATTTTTCCAATTCGTGGTAGCTCGTGTAGAAAATGCTGACGACCAAAAATATCATCCTGGTCTAGGTGTCCATGAACTTTCGAGCACGTACGGAAGGAGGAGTCCAGAAATGTGCTCTTCGGAATACCCAGGAAGGAGTCGTTTGTCTCCGGGATATTCCGTTTATCCCTGGGACTCTCGTCCTCCGGACGAGAGATTCCTCGTTTCGTTCGAAAACCCGTAGAAATATCCGAGTCGATCGAAGACGAGACGTAATGTGTTCGCGAATTCCCAGCTCTCGTGAAAACTCGGACGAAAGGCGCAACGAGAGTCGGAGAGATCTGCGCGAAAATACGAATGAGAACGACTGGATTCTTGGAAGGTGCGAAATCTCGCAGGAGTGAAACGACGGAAAGAGCGAGACGGACTTCCGTCAGCCGTCTTTCGACTCGAGGTTTCGATTCACCGGGGAGTCCACGTTCGGTCAATATCGGGCGGAAGAGTTCGTGCCGAGCTGGGATCGGTCTGCAACGTAAACAGAGATTTTCATTCTCGAGAAAGAGCAATCGCCGACGATGCCGAGCCCTCGCATCCGATCGAGACCGGGGGAGATCTTCGCAATCCAAATGCTTGGAATATCGTAGTGAGACGGATGGCATGCACCGTACGAAACGTTACCCCCCTTGTTCGTCCGAATTTTTCCCCTAATCTTTACCTGAAGGGTTTTCTGACAGGTTGAAAGACGGGGGAAAAACCGGTTTTTTACCTCAGTTTCACCGTCCCAATTTTACCTCAAGGGAAAAAATTTTTTTGTAAGGTTGGAGAGCGGCGGTAGCGCACCCGACCGGTTCGATTCCCGGCCTTCCCTAGTGTTACGTGATATTTCGTCCTGTCATGCCCTCTTCCTCTTCCCACCGATGACATTACTGATGCCATTGGCACTCAATGCCATTAAAACAACTGCATTATTTCTACTCGCCGTACACGATCCACTCCTACTTATTGTCCTCGACTCCAGTGGCGTAGCGAGGGGGGGGGGGGGGCTGGGGGGGGGGGGGGGGCTTCAGCCCCCTCAACTCTGGTCAAAATACATTTGTCCCCCCCGCCGGCGAGAAGTGAGGATAGGCGAAGTCCTGGCTACGCTACTTCTCGATTCCTTCATATTCATATTCCTCTGTTTGACCACCTATTAACGCTCGTTAAAACGTCGTCTAAGCGAGGTCCTCAAGTCACAGAGTGAGGTCATCAAGACAAACTCCTCTCCGTACTTTATGAAATGAGGTCCCCCGGGGGTTCGGAAAAAATCCACCCGGAAACACCCCCCTCCCAGATTTGCGATGATTTTCACCCCAGGTGAAAACAAGAAAAGCTAGACAAAAAAATTAAATGTTGTGTATATTAGCAATATTGATATTTAAAAATAAATAAATAAATAAATTTGCTTTTTTGACAGCGATTTACACGCAGGGTATTGTAAACTATGATCATGGCTAAGCAAATTGCCTTCTATGCAATTGCAGTGCTTCAAATAAATTCTCAAACGAATATCTGTGTGGTACGCTTTCTTCTACTGTGATCAGGATCTTTTTTCACATTTTCTGAGAAAAATCTGAAAATTTTATTATTTCATTACTTTTAAAATGTGAAGAATAAGTGGAAAGAGAACGGAGATTGCTCCAGGACGTTCGCCAAACTGGTGTGGGCGTTCCTGACGTGTCCGTATGTGGGCGATGCTAATTGTTATCTGACTCCTGCTGTTATAGTGCCGGGGAGATCCGTAATGAAATACGAGATGGTTTAACAACAGGAACAAAAGTTATATTATGCAATGAGAGACCACTGACCAGAAAAAGAGTCCTCCCTGGTGGCAAGAGAGGACGGATCACATCCACACGTATTTACACACTAAACTAGCATGACAAGTGAGTCCTCAGCCTACTGGAGGTCGAACATTTTAATTCCTTCGTCCAGGTTAAGGGGAAGTCTCTTGGAGGTGGAGGAGGTGGCTCCTCCCCCTCATATCCTATGGTCACCGTCTCGAGACCCACACTGGTTTAAAAGAAATGTATGGTTATTTTATTAGACATTTTTTTGTTCGCTTACATTTAGCCTGGTTGCTGTCTTCATGGCAGTCTTTCCATTTTCTCGTCTCTGGGGGTCGTTTTTCCGGGTGGCTTTCCCTCTAAGATTCTCCGACTCTACCTCGATGGTTTAGCTACATTTTGAGAATGCAGTATTAATCTCGAAAATGACTCGATGATGATTCTCTTCCCTGTCCGAGTGAACTCTACGGCTTGCACCTAATGAGCGTACCGTCTGCATGCTAACTTCCGACCCGAATAAAGGATCACGATGATTAGTATGACTGCCCACCCTCCTCACCGGCCTCCTTGGCCCTAGAACCGCGTGAAGTGAGATGGCGACGACTCCTGAGGCCACGGGGGAACCAGTCCATCTTCCGAAATGGAAAACGCAATAGGATTCTCAATCGAGCAGAGATTATTAGCAAAGAATGAGAAAGGGATGAGAGAGACACGATTCTGAGGGTAGAATCGCTTAGGGTATGCCTCGTCCGGACGACATTCCCGCCACGCATGTGGACTCCGATGCCAGAAACCGCCGGGATCGCTTTCGACAGGTCGTCGGTCCACCACGGCACCAAAAACGCCTCGTCATAGTTATTTTTCTCGCTACATTGCACGTCGCGCACGCGTTGCAGACACAGGATATTTGCGATTGAGCTAGGGAGAGGAAGAGCACGGACGGAAGGAGAGAGCAAGAAGATCAACGGCTCTCCCTAGCGGGCCACGGAAGAAGAGATACGTTCCAGGCCCGCCGAATAGAGAGCAGGGATGCCATCGACCCCAAGCCGAGATGCTCGCTTTCGTGCAGATTCCTATTCCCCATACGAAGCGGAAACGAATAAGCGTTCTTCTTTCCCCGAGAATTCCGAGTCCACCGAGTTTGATCCGCGCGGTCAGTTCTTTCAGAGTCGAGAAAGTATGAGCTCAGGGATGTCGTCTTCCCTCCACGGCTTGCACCTCGAAGCGCCTGGAAGGTGCAGTCTCAGTTCTCACGCCGTCGCGATACGGGGTGTTTTTCGATGTTTTCCAAATGCACGAATGCGTTGAAAGTCTCAAAAACCTAACCAAAACCAGACGTGACCTCAACAGAGCTCTGCAAAACTTCAATAGCATGAGATTGTAGCCGTGGTTGACAGCGAGGTTCACGGAAACTAGCTGACTGGTTGACACTAGGGTGCAGTACTGATAAGGTGTAGGCACAAGCACCCCGTGACTCATCGCAGCCTTGACTTTCCCAACTGATCAGGGTGGGAACCGAAGGCGTGAATCATCGCATTCTTGGATTAACCGAGTCTGCAGAAAGTGTAGGACGGCTAAATTTCCCATCCCAGGAACCTTTCATCATACCAGGACATGCAATAGCTTCAACCGGAGGTCTTTAATAACTGAATAATTCGCTCCAGACATCATTGGAATTTGAATGAGATTTCCGAATCATAGTTGAGTTTGAAAATGCGAAATTTAAGCAATTTTCACCTCCCAAAACATCCATATATGGGGAGGAAAAATACAAATCTCTCGTAACAGTATGTTGCACTCCTCTCTCATGTGCATCAGGAAAGCAATATACTTGTTTGACTTTTTGTCCGCTACATAGAGAAAAATTAATCTCGCTACTAAAATTTTTTCAGTTTTTAATCATCTTCAGTAGAGATTTTTTCGATGTGGCGGAGCATTAACAGCATCAAGGGTGAAGTCCCTGGAACGGTGAACCCAAGATCTTTCCAACGATATGCCTTTTTCGGAATAAATATTATTTCATTTGTAAAAACTTGGAAATTCTAAAAAAATTCACTTTTGCTGAATGAGTGGCTGAAAATTGACGTGTGCTGAAATCACTAGAAATTTTTTAAAGAGAGATTTTAGAGCTCTATGCGATGCATTTGGCTCAACTTGTCGATATGCTGATTTTCTTTGCATTACAAGTTTCGCTCATTAATGCTTAGGGACGTCAAAGTTGAGCGACATTTTGACTCTCATGATGATGAATTCACTTACATATAACTGCGATTTACTCACAGCACCGTATAGAGCTCTGAAAGACCTTTCCAGCAACATATCACACGACCAAATTCAGCCACTTAAAAAAAGGAAATTATTGGAATATGCAAGTTTTGTCAATTAAATTTTTTGCGAAAATGGCTCAAGAAATCATATATCGTAGGAACGATCTTAAGCTCCCCTTTCTAATGACACCATTCTTGATATCATAGGCGCTCCGCCACATTGAAAAATGCTCGACCGAAGATGACAAAATAAGAAATTTTCACATTTTTAGGCGAAATTTTCTCTATGTAGTCGACGAAAATTCAAAAAAGTAACTTGCTTTATCGATGTACCTCAGAGAGGAGTCAAACAAACCGTAACGAGAGATTTGTCTTTTCCCTGGCCAAATAAGGATGTTTTGGGGGGGTGAAAATTGCTTAAATTTCGCATTTTCAAACTCAACTATGATTCGGAAATCTCATTCAAATTCCAATGATGTCTGGAGCGAATTGTTCAGTTATTAAAGACCTCCGGTTGAAGCTATTGCACGTCCTGGTATGATGAAAGGTTTCTGGGATGGGAAATTTAGCCGTCCATGGGGGTTTTCCTGTTTTCCCCCCCAAAGTTCGCGGGTGATCTCGCTAACCGCAGATCCGATGAAGTAGAGTCCTTTTTTTTTCCTGGAATGTTAGATTGTATACAATCGCTTAGATATCTTATCTATAAATCCGAGATGGTCGAGAGCACTGCCTGCTTGAGTTCGTATGGAATGTCCTTGATTTCGTCCGTGTATTTGTACAGAAAAACATGAAAAGTCCAAAAAATAATTCGAATGATCAATAAATTTGTCTTATTGCAGTCAGAATCATAGAGGAGGGAAAAGGAATTTTCCTTATGAGGATTTCGAAGGGAAACGCAGTAATTTCGAGTTAGAGAGAAATTCGAGTTAAAGAGGTTCGAGTTTTCGAGAGTTGACTGTTTTATGGCGCCGGCAGTCGGTATGTAGTTGGTTCTATTTCCAGTGTTCCCATGCATGCAATAAACCGACACGTTAGACGCGATCAAAGATTGCACCGCGCTACCGGTAATATATAATAACTTCCAGAAGCCCAGAATGAGGGGAGATTGAGCACCCCGAGTATCACGGTTCGTGACGCTGCAGGCATTCTGGCACCTGCACCGGCAGGAAACGCCCGAGTGCTTTTCGGCTCCCATTTCGTCTTCGCCCGATGTGTCGAGTAGGGGGATCACCCTGAGACGTCTCCGGGCTCTGCGATCACGAACGCACGAGATTCCGTGGATCGTCCGGCAAAAGGAATGGAAAAGGATCCAGAGAACCAGATGACGATGGACTCACCACGTCCCGAGGGCGTGTCTTTTCCTAGTGTCCATTTCTCAGGTCCGAACCAGGTGATACGACCGAGAAGCATCTGGAGAACACGCAGCAGCAGTAGACGAAGCCGTTCGCCAATTCGATGGAGGATCCCCCCCACTCTCCCCCGGCCACGTCACTCACCAGCCCGCTCCGACGAGCGTCAAGGGGCCGAACCTTGTTTTTTTACCTCTTTCTTTTTTCCGGGTCCGAGAGCACCGGACCCTTACTGGCCGCATTTAAAAGCCACTCCGAAAGAAGTCCTCAACGAACTAGACACGAGGCATGCCTTCGTTGCTCTCGACAGGAGGGTGTGGCCACGAGTAGCGAGAGCACTCGATGTTGCAAAAATGAAAAATGAAAAGCGCGCTTCATCGTTAGAGAGGGAGTGAGGATAGGTGACACGGGCTATTTTATCGATGGGAATCGTTTGCTTTTCCACGTCATAGTTGCGGGTTCGCAAGAGAACCCTGAAACACAACCATTTTACGGAAAGCACCAAGATGCAAGCGGTATCGAACGTGATGCCTATAATATGAATGCGTAAAGAGATGGAAAAAATGTGCGGAAGAGCAAAAGTTAACTGTACCTTATTAACAAAGCGTAGCTTGGATGGAAAAAGTGTGTGCGGGGAAGGGGGGGAGGCGACTCAAGCGCAGGAACTCTGGAGTACTGTTCTTGTGCAAATCATGCGTCTTTTCCTTCCTACATTTGCTTCTTTTTTTTAACATTGGGGGAATAAACGCCCCCTCTGCCCTAACCCTCTCCCCCCCACTTCGACATTACGCCGCTACTGGCAAGGCTCATGAACCTCGTCAGTTGAAGTATGAATGGACGCAGTGGCGTATTTTGCCTCATGAGCCGGGAGGGGGAAGAGGCAAAGTAGAAGAAAGGGGCTGCGAAGGCTGATGGAAGTAAAGTTTCTCAAGGTTGAAAATATCCTTCCAAGATAAGCTAGGAACTTTTAAAGGCTGCCAGGCCCGCCCCTCCCCCCTTTAAAATACGCCACTGGATGGTCGTCAAGTTCATCCATGAGTCTCACGGGGACATGACTCTGGCAGGTTCACTGCTGAGGATATGGCGCTAATGAGTATACTTTAGTACCGTAGTAGTATCTCACCGTAGGGGTTTCGGACAAACTATAGGTGCTTCACACGACCAGGACCATTCCATCATACTGTTCCATCTCGGCAAAGAAAATCGTCTAGCTGTCCTTGCACATTCTTTGCAAATCCCAGGGAGCAGCCTTCCTTGTCTTTCGAAATCGACTTCCCACGACAGATAATTCCTTCAATATCAAGGTACGAGTGGCAAGATCTGAATTCCTTTCCAAATCTATCCAGAAATTCAATAGCTAATTACAGCGACCTCACCTCGTTTCCGTTTTATGAAGAAACATGAGATGGGAGTGCAATTTGGTTCTCAAGAAGGGCTTAACGCCGTGTGTCTCATGTTAGCGCAGGCGTTTCGTTTCCCCCTTTTCTGGTGATATGCATGAGAACTCGAATCTTGCTCTCCTTTACCTGGGAATTTTGCACAGCCTGTCATTATCAAAATCGAGAGTCTATGATTCACACTCTCGTCTTATTCTTTATTACATACTTCTAGGTGATTCTTGGCTGGAATTCTAAAAGATAAGATTGGAAATGGAGGATAATAATTGATAAGGGATGAGGGGATCACGGGTACTGGATTCACACCTTCATAGGAGGTCCTTCGGCTAGGGCAATATGGACGCCTCCTTGAGCTCTGTTTCTTCACCATAATGTTACGTACCCACCGGCAGCGCTGCAGTCTCGGAGGACGTCGCGTAAGCCTAACGGTGAAGTTAGAGAGCATGGTCGATGTTTTCGGATGCGTATGTTCCCTACCTTTCTCCCACTTCAGGTGCATCATGATTCACCGTTCCGAACATTCCAGGAAAGTGTGAAAATCGTTGACCTTGGGCCGAGTCGCTGAAATCCATTGATCGACCAGGCCATTGACTCCCGTGATATTTTATTTTTATATTCTGTGAGAAACGTCTGTGGTTCCCGAAAAAAGAGAGGCTAGCTAGCCCTAGGCTTAGTCGACCAAACATGCCTTTATTTGGAAGGAGTCAAAAGAGCCCTTCAGAGGTTGTGAAGGCATTGAAGGAAGCTCTCAGCGCATTGGAGAGGGGTGACAAAAAAGTCGAGAAAGTGAGTTTCATCTTTCACATCACCCTCCTTTTGACATCATATTAGGCTTAGCCCTATACCTATTGAATAATTAATGTTAGGCCTAAGCTAATGGTGGCACATGCCTGTTGCTGAGAGTATTAGAACTAAGGACTATAATTTTTACTCTGCAGGCTCAAGAAGATGTGACAAAAAACCTTGGTGTGATGAAATCTATGCTGTTTGGAAGTTCTGAAGCAGAGCCACAGAATGATATCTTGGTCGCTACCCTTTCTCAGGAACTTTACAGCTCCAATCTTCTTCTACTTCTCATTCAAAATCTTCATCGCATAGAATTCGAGGTGAACTTTAAAATGGAAAATAATGGCCAACTGGTGCTTTTGGGCTTTTGAAAACATTATGGCATGGATAGTTAGACAGGTTACTCCATGGGTGGTGCAATTCAGCCAACTGTTAGGCCAAATAGGCTTTGTACAGTAAGTCTGCAAAAATATAGAGTCTACTGAGGCCTTGCAATAATTATAGAGCCAGGAGTTTCCACAGGAATGCAGCAGCAAATCTTGGGATGTATGTGTTATACGAATTCATTTTGAGGTTTCTTAATTAGCAAACAAAGAGTTAAGATTGGATTTGATTGTAACAAACCTACAGGGTACAGCATCTCTTGTCTGTGCAAGTTTTAGTAGCCAGGAATCACATGCCTGAGGGTGGCTAACCCTAGGGCATATACATATGAGTATGAGGTGGAATATCAAATGACATTGGACCATAGTAAAGTCAAATTGAAAAGACATCCTTGTGATCAAAGAAGAAAAAGGAGAGTAGTGGAAGTATGAATTCCATGCTGCAGATACTGAGTACAAGCCCTTTGCAAGTGATGAGAGAGATGAACAGGTGGTAAACTCTGGTGGCACTGAGTGACATAACCAAGTATGTCAAAGATATATATGTTCTAAAAGGAGTTGACACCAATATCAAACATCCATTACATTTCCCAACCTAGGTACTGTGCATGGCTAGGCATCAGCTACAGATATCTATGTTGTATCTACTATAAAGAGATGTGAAAAAAAGAATTTAACTTAGTCAAACTTTGAATGGCAAAAAACTACTGAACAAGAAGACAACAGTTTAAAAGGAAATTATGGTGAAATGAGGCTTTGGGTGCTGAAAACTTTTCAGGTTCCTCATTGGGGGCATGGTCCTGCTGAAAGCTTCAGTGTAGATCAATCTTTTTCATAAAATGGAGAGTTAGAAGAGGAGGAAAGAGTATGTCTGTCTATAAGGCTGTCCAGTGACTGTAACCACAGCTTATGTCCATCATTAAGTATCTTCTGAAAGTCCTGTTCAATCCTGATCAATTGCTACAAACCATTTCACAACACCTGTAGGGAATAAATAATTATGCCTGTTTTAGCACACTTGTGTCAAGAAACTAACCACTTAAAAAAAAAATTTATTCCTGAACTGTCTTTTCTGTGAGGTGTTCACACCTGTCCATGAGCAGGATAAAATTTTAAAACCAGTCTTAGATGCTCCAGCTGGTTGAAATTAGAAATGCAGGGAATTAAAAAAAAAAAGTTTTATCAATTGTGCAGGAGATAACTGTTTCCTTTGCATTCAGTCAGTATCAAAGTAAAATATACACCAGGCATAAATACAGACCAGAAATGTGCCGATATTTGAGAAATTAAGAACCTTGGAATTTTTAAAGTACACAACATATTCTTTGGGGAGTGGCATGTAAAGTTAAATTGTTTGCACATGTTTCTATCATTCAGAGAGAGAGTACAGCACTTGGTTGAATGTGAAATTCCCCGTTGTCTGTAGAGCAAGAAGGATGCAGCACAGATCTTCAACAATGTCCTTAGACGGCAGATTGGAACCCGTACACCCACGGTCGAGCACATCTGCTCGAGACCTGAGATTCTCTTCACCCTCATGCATGGGTATCTTGTTGTCTTCTTTTCCCCTTTTCTCTTCATTTCCCTTAGATACAATATGAGGAAGGTTACAATGTGTTTTACACTATACTTGGTTAGGTATGAGCAGCAGGAAATCGCACTCAACTGCGGAACAATGTTGCGTGAGTGCTGCCGTTATGAGGCCTTATGCAAGATCATCCTCTATTCTGATGATTTCTACAACTTTTTCAAGTATGTAGAAGTTTCAACATTTGACATTGCATCTGATGCCTTCTCCACTTTCAAAGTAAGCCCATCCTGTACTACATGATTAATCTACTCACAATGCTTTTCCTCCCCTTGTTCACAGTATAATAGCCTCATGAGAAGGATAGATGCTTTGATGTCTGTATAAGTGTGAAAAGGTTCATGGGTCTTCATGATTTATTCTCCTCAGTGGAAGGATGGAGTGGTGAAGCTGGTCTGTGATGTTTAGTGACACAGAAATGGCATTTAGGATGTTCTTTGAAAGATTTTCACTCTTCTATGAAATTTGATCCTTGATGGAAGCCCCATATCATATGAGTTGTTCTGTTTCATTATTTTATGAAATTTTCATGGTTTGCAGGAATTGTTGACACGACACAAGATGCTGAGTGCAGATTTCCTCGAAAACAATTATGAGCGTGTGTTCTCACACTATCAAGGCCTGTTGAATTCAGAGAACTACGTGACACGTCGACAGAGCCTGAAACTACTTGGCGAACTTCTCCTTGACAGACACAACTTTTCTGTGTGTTCTCCTTCATACCATCCACCTTCTTGTCTTGCATCTCTTAATATGGTATTTTTCTTCCTCCCAGGTCATGACTCGATACATTTCCAATCCAGAGAATCTGAAACTCATGATGAACATGCTGAAGGAAAAATCCAAGAACATCCAGTTCGAAGCGTTCCATGTCTTCAAGGTGAGAACCAATGGGGTTTGTAAACCTAATTGGGTCTTCTCACATGACCAACTTCTCGTGCTCTCGTCTCAGGTGTTTGTGGCAAATCCGAACAAGCCTAAGCCTATACTGGACATTCTGCTGCGGAATCAAGACAAGCTTGTGGAGTTCCTGAGCAAGTTTCACACTGACCGGAGCGAGGACGAGCAGTTCAACGATGAGAAGGCCTACCTCATCAAGCAGATAAAGGAGTTGAAGCCGCCCCCACAGGATTTGAAGCTGGAGGCAACTCACTGAACTGCGCCATGGACTTGTAGTCTTGTTCTCTCTTTCTCTTCATCTCGTCTTCCAGCATCTCTGATCCCCTCCCTTGGCTCTCAAGGTATTCAAATTGTAAAGTCCCATGTGAGAGAGAGAGTGAGAGAGAGAGAGAAAAAGAAGAGATGCTTACGAACATGATATCACACGTACCAATATGCACTCTGCAGATGCACTCACTTGCCGTCGTGGAATGAAGTCTAGGCAAAAGCAAGCTGCATGAAAGGAACAGAAAAAGAATAAATTCCACTTTCTATGCTCTCATTGTCTGCTTCCTTGATCTTGCTAAATTTTATGAACATCATGCTGTTCATGAGTGTGAAAGCATGTTTTCAAGTCTATATTTTCTATTCTCCCTTTCATCATCCCTCATTTTTACTAACACCACATACTTGCTGTTGAAAGATTTCTTATAAATTTATTAGGCTGTGAAGAAGCATACAGGAGCTTAGGCTAGAATCTTAATAGGGCTGCAACATTATTAGATACATATGGTCGATATTAGCAGTATTGGTTCGTACTAGATATTGTAAGCCAGTGTGCAGTCACCTGCCTATGATACTTCTTGGCATTTTTCACATGGAGTGAGGAGATCCATTGAAGCAAGGCCAGGCTTGGTGTGATAGGAATGGCACAGAGAGGAATGTTTGAATGTTTCAGGTTTTGGTGGTGCAATCCTGACTGGTAATCAGGAGGCTCAGGTTCGATTCCCAGCTATTCACTGTTGTTCTTTTGTCACAATGCCATCTTACTCTTCCCTTAAAGGTCGTTGGCATTACATTAGACCTGTTGAGTACATAGCTTGCACTCAACTCAGCACTGTCTTGCGTACAGTTCAACTTAGGTGCACGTCCACACCCCCTCGTACACTTAACCCTACGAGTTGATACGACGGAACAAGTGCGTTAATGCAGCGCCGTCAGTACCTTCGTCTATGATATTGTTTTTCGGATGGTCGTGCACTTACCCTGTATACGATGCTTGTATCCAAGAAATGCCTCCGTGACTTCGGGATGCGATGAAAGGAATTCTCGAGATTTTGACGTACGCTGAAGCGCAGTTTCATTCGTTCACCTGGGCGTCTGAAGGGCTTCTAAGGGCACACCCTGTGCCTACGTACCTTCCCCGTTCACATCATGTGCTCTGCATTTCCCTGCCTTCCCCCGTTATCCGCCCCAATGGAACCACACATCCGCATCACAAGACGTGTGGGGTCCTCTTTCCTTCGCGCAGAAGGGAGTGAGATACTCTCGGCAGAAAAGCGATGGGATTGGAACGCTTATCGTTCAAAAATCGCTATTAAATCCTTGAGCGCGAGTTAACCCTTTTTGCATAAGAGCAAACTGGAGGTAATGACTTGAAATGTTGACATGCTCTCACTTTAGCAGCCCAATCTCTGGTCTGCATTCACCTTGTGAAGATGTCACGTTTCGAAAAGCGTGCTAATGTGAAATTTTGCTAGAGAATGCGTAAAACGACTGCAGAGACAATGCTGAAACAGGCGTGTGGGGACAAGACAATCTCACGTCCTCGAGTGTTTGAGTGGCATCGGCGATTCCGAGAAGGCCGTGAGTTTCTGGAAGGTGATGGAGGTATTCTTCGACCACGAGGGTATTGTTCATCATGAGTTCATTCCGGAGGGAAGAACGGCGAACAAAAAGATGTACGTAGATGTAGATGTGCTGCGGCGTCTCCGAGAAGCAATCCGGAGGAAACGACCACCGATGTGGGCAGACAAGAATTGGATCCACCTTCACGACAACGCACCAGCGCCAGATCGCTCATGGTGAGCTGTTACTTGACAGACACTTGCACCGTCTTACTACCACATCCCCCTACTCCTCGGACCTTTCACCATACGACTTTTCCCTCCTTTCAAAGACTAAAGAAGCGGCTGAAGGGACGCTGTTTTTCCTCCACAAAAGAGGTGAAGGAAGCTACGGTGGCGGCACTGAACGGGGTCGTCAAAAAATGGGTTCCAGTTCTGTTTCGAAGAACTTTATAGACGTAGGCAAAAGTGTGCAGAGCCAGAGCCACTACCTTGAAGGTGACACAGCAACAGTGCCGTAACGCTCACCGTTCGCGTGCAATAAACCCAGTCTCGAAACTTTTTGAACCTACCTTGTATAACAACCTCCACGCGCAACCAATGACATGTGCCCGTACCACCAAATTAGGCGGAAAAGAAGGAAAGGATTCCTTATTAGGTATGATGAGAGAGGAGGATTCATGTGTGATGTCCAGAGCCACTGACACGTGCCTCAAAGTTATAGGGGTTTACACTCTCCGTGGACATTCACGATGTTCAAATGTGGCTTCCCTGAATGCATTATGTCCACGCCCGCGGGCCGGATCCGGCTCGCCATTCCATTCCTTCCGGCCCGCGAAGCCCTCTTCAACAGTATGCTCGGAAAATTGCTGCAAATTTCAACTTTCTAGCATTAAAAACGTTGTGTGAGATTAGTTCATGAGTCCCCCAACCACCCCTACACCAACCTATCCGGCCCTCGGCCAAATCGAGCTTGATACCTCCGTGGTAGAGTGACTAATAACTTGCCGATGAAGAACTTGTTTCTCCACAGATAAGTTGTTCCCTCAGAAGTGCATTTCAGTGCTTTATAAACAATTCCAAAAGGCGTTAAATGCATGTTAAATAAGATGACGAAGGACCTCCACCTATGGCCACCATAGGATGACAGAGCGAAAGAAACATGTATGAGACGCTAGAGAGTGGCAGGATACCCGTCTCATGTTTTATTCTGATAGCTGAGATGTCAACAAATATGGGAATGATGTCCTAGTAAAAGTTGTGTCGAATGGGGCTGTAAAAAATTTAAAAAGCGTCCACAAACGTGGACACTGCAACAAAGGGTTAAAGCAGGGGTGTCAAACATACGGCCCGCGGAGGTGGTTCATCCGGCCCGCCGTGTGTTTTAGAAATTTATGCTTTGATAGACTGTCACCACAAATTTCAGTGGAAAATTATGGGTGCGGCCCGCAGGCATCTGCAGGGTAGGGAATGCGGCCCTCCGACCGATTTGAGTTTGACACCCCTGGGTTAAAGCATTCCGAAGCGACGAGAACCGGGAGTCCAGTAGGCGCAGGTCGAACCGTTAACCCTTTCGCCGTGACGCCAATGTATACTTGTTCACGGGAAATCATTTCACTAGCGCGACTTCCGAGCGTACTCCATTTAAAACTTCACGTTCCCAGCGCAGGTTCCTATGATACTACACTTTAAATCATTCCTATACTTTATTCCTATAAGTCGTAGTCCCCTTACGAGAACGCTAAAAAAAAAACAGCGCTGGGGGGCTACCGCGCCTTTTATTTATAACTCCGCGATGGAAGGGTTAAAAGAGAAACGAAGAGTGTGCAACGAGGGATGGAGGATAGATAATTTTCCCTTGGCTATTGAGGTGTGCGCTTTACAATACCTGAACTGTTTAACCCTGCAACTACCGTTCTGAGTCCAATGGACCCTGATACAAAAATGTTGCTATTTGTGTTGGCTGCGCCATGAACTTCAAAAGTACCATACTCGGTATATTTTCGTGAAGACATTGGTATTATTTTGAAAAGATTCTTTGGGAATGAAGAGATGGAACAAAAAGTTGAACATCTGGGTTCTGGTAATTACAGGGTAAGGATCCACTGCAGACCACTATGGATAGCCCATCTCTTAGAAACCTGCTTCCATGCCTTCAATGTCAACATTTACTGCAAATTGTGTGTGTGTGTGTTTTTTTTTAAATTGCACTACCCGTATTCGTAGGCTTTGTATTTATAGTCCATCTGGATATGTTGCAAAAATCTGGTTATGGAGTGTCACTTGTTGACATCTCATGCAGTTTTGTGTGATACAGGTCTGATGAGGGCTGCCATGCAGCTACTTATGCTCTTAGAATATCATTCCTGTAAAACTTCTAGTAATTTAAAAGCAAACTATGGCATCCAGTAAAAGTCACCTTTAACAGAAGTGAACTAATGTGGATGGGTACCCCAACCAACAATCCCATCATATTAAGAGTCATAAACCTTTGGCGGGCGAAAGGTGCTGTCTCAACACAAGTTATAGATGCAGCCACAGATTTTCTATGTAAGAGCTTACCACCTTATACTTTGATGAAAAAATCCATCATATTCCACCATTGGTCTACACAGGATGTTACCTCCTTTGGTTGTGTAGCCATAGCAAAGCCATTAGCCTTGTCCAAATTTAATTATTTAGCAACATTCCACCCTTTCCCACCCTTGAATATTTAAAAAATGTATTTTTTGTTAACTTCCTACGAACTGAATATAGAAATCTCATTATTTTTTCCCCCCTTTGAGTTCCTCCAGTTCAGCTTCTGCTGCCTATATTCAACTTGAGGGGAGAACTATTGAGAAATTGAGTTGGGGGTGAGGGGGATGGGAATACGCGTTGCCCCAGTTTAAAATTCTGGCTGGAAACAGCTATAATTTCCAGCTGAACTCCACCTGTAAATTCGGACCCATTCCAACTGGGTAACAGCTGGAAAGTAGTCATCTCCAGATTTGTTCCTAATTGCAATATCACTAGCTGAATGAGAATCTTTTTGTTGACTATTTTTGTCAGAGGTCCATCTACAGGAACAGCTGATTTTTAA